TTTTTTTTTTTTTTTTTTACCTTAGGCCATTGCTATTTCAGTGTTTTATTGCTGTTTTCTAAAATGTTTTCCAGTAAGTAAAACACAGAATTATGTAGTTCCACAGTTGCTCTAAGAGAATGACTGTAGCACTAACCTGATCCAAGAATCATGTAATCAATACAGTGCAACCATTTTTGCATAAATTGTCTCAGATTTTTTAGTTTTTCTAGCCCTGTTCTGTTGCACTGTGTATGCCAAACTATTATGACTTAGTATGCATGAGCAGAAGAAATAGGAATTGGCAGAAAATAAGTGTTATATTCAATATTTAGAACTGACTATAGATACAGCATATTCATTAGGTTCTAAATATCTGAATCTTTGTGACAGTGGAAGTGAGGTGGAAGTTTGATAGGAATTCTGTAAAAGTACAGTTTCATTTTTACTCTTTACAGTAATTTTTAGATAGTGACCCAAGCTTTTTTAATCTTGAGTGTTCCTAGAAGTTAGTTTTCTTTGCATACCAGAGTACTTGTAACTTTTGGAATTTTTTTCATTCATAGGGAAGTTCAATGCAGAAACATAAACTGTTCACACTTTACAGTACAAAGCTTGTATCCTGATAACCTTTGAAGTTAGTGACGGTTTTATGAAACTTTTGCCTCTTAAGTTCTCTCAGTAGTTAACTTTTCTGATAAAGCTTTATGCTCTTCAGTACCTAGAAAATGAAATGAGTTTTTAATGAACAAACAGAATTACAACATAGATGTTTTAGTGATCTGTATTTCGAAAGACAGACCAAAAAGGTATTCTGATTTGTTGCGGAAGGCTGAGCTTTGAATCTGACCAGAACTGGAATTCTTTACAACTACTGTATTTACTCTGTGACCTGGATCGTATGGGAACACAGTTTCACATTAATTTACTGCTAACTCGTCAGGGTCATGGTAAAAGTTAATTACTATGGTGTTTGACCATTGTTTTCAGGGCACATACTTCTTACTTGGTTAACAGCTGACTTTTGGGAGAGGATATAAACTACTGTACACACATTTCCATGTTTTTATGGATCATTTATATGGTTCATGTATTAGAGTGTGTCTTACTTTCACACAATATAGTATTGTAAATGTTAAATACACTGAAATGCACTGAAGAAATTACATCTGATAGTTTATTTCAGTGACAGAGTTTTTTTTTCCCTTCCTCACTACTGGGAAATTATGTAGTTTGACAATTCATCAAGTAAGCACTTGAAAATAAGATATAGAGATCCTATCCATTAACCACATGTTAAATTGACTAACACGGATAGAGAAGTGGTTATGGACCCAGTAACATATTGATGGGTTGAAAAGGCTTTAAGACTGGTGTAACATCAGCATACTACTTCTTCTCCCTGAAGGTCCTTGATCTTAATTATTAAAAAAAGGGTTCTGGCATAAATTAACAAAGGGAAGGAAAATGAGAGTTAATATTGTTAAATTCATGTGACTGGGCCAGAAAGCTGTTTGTGGTATGTGTTAAATTGGTATTACTTGATAACTGTTGTTAATCTCTGTATGACTAATGGTGGATGAAGAGGAACCCAGGTATTTAAAATTCTGATTAATGCAGGAACTTTAAAGTATTGGGATGTGCAGAACTGTTAAACTTGTGGTCTTTGAAATCCTTCTGAAGTGATAAGTTCATGTTGTGCTCTTATAAAATTCTTTGCCCTCTCTTTAAAATAAGTACTGCTTTTCCGTTTTAGTGAGTATATTTTTTAATATTACTAACCAGTGTATTCTAGAGTTACTCTGTTATGTGGAAAGGCTTTTTTCCACATTCTCAGTGCTAATTAAAAGAAAAAAAAACAGTGTCCTGTAGACTGTCACTAGCTGCTTTCTGTTACCTGCACAGTCCCTGTTTTTCTGCAAGAGAGGCTAGAATGCACAAACATAACCTCTGTAGTTGACCTTCGTTAATGAGGAATATGCGTACATCGTTTAATTGCAGAGGGATCTCCTTGTAGATGTGTAAACTGCTTTCTGCATCAGTGAAGATAGATAGCTGAGTTGCAAAGAATAATTAAATGTATCATTTAAGTAAGATGAGATTACACTAGTAAAAGTCATGTGGAAAACTTCTTTCCTTGGGTTCCACTGACTTTATAGTCATTAGTATTTTTCAATACAGACAGGAACAGTCTGAGAAAATGCAGTCATTCTCTTTAAAGACTTGAATGTGGCTGTAATTTTGAAATGGTTCAAGTAGTTAGGACATTTGCTTGAGGTGAGGTGGCTACCATGAAATTCTTTCTAAAATCCTTCCAACTTATTCAGGAAAATGCTATTCTTGTTAGTACCCAAGATGATATGGTTAATGCTTCTGAGAGAATGTGAAATAAAATCGACAAGTAAATGCCTTTTTTTTATTTAATATGTAACTCATCTGGCTCCCGTTTTTCATTACTCTTCCTTATATGTGGTCTAGATTTTCATTAATATGTACTGGTTTTTTCGACCAGGACTTTATTTTAAGAACAGACCAGGTTTTGTGTGAGTTAGTGAGTGTGTTAGTGAGTAAATGTGAGTAGTGGCTAAAAATGCTGTTTTTTGGGTTTTTTTTTTCCCTGTTTTTTCTCTGTGGCTGGATTGTAAAAGGACAGTAATTACACATGGAAGAGAGTAAGTGTAGTTATGTGTAGCTTAGTGTAAACCTCTCTTTTTCATGTAATTTGGAGAAATTTGAAGATGAGCTTGGAATTAGTAAGCAGCCTTGTGAATGAGAAAGAAAATGGCTAGCTGTATAAAGTCTTTTATACAAGGTGAATTGCTTAGAGTGATAACAGGACACAACATCTCACTGTAAGCTTGCATTATATTTTGTCACATCTCAAGAAAGTTGTACATTTGGATTTTTTAGGATCGATGTACATGATGGAAATACAAACTCCAGCCAGCTTTTGCTTTTGCTTTACTTTATACTCTGCAAACTTTTGGAGGTACTTTAAACTATTTTATTTCCAGTGATAGCCTAACAAAACAATTCTTAAAGAATTAGTAAGTGAACATTCCACTTCATATTTGTTTGCAAAAATGGTTAATCCATTTAGTTACCTAAACTTAAACAATGATAGGGAGCGGCCTGATTAATTTTTGTGCTTGTCCTTGTTTATTGAGCAAGAAGGAACACCCAATGCCAACAAAAAAGAATGAAAATATTAAACTGAAAATGTGTTCAGTATTCAGTTTTACTTCATCCACAGCTAAGAAGAGGATTTTGGAAAGATTGTGTCTTCTTTACTGACTAAATTTCATTGAAGTCAGTGAAACCAGAATTGGGCTGTAATTATCCTGTAGGTGAACATTTCAGAAACACTGCAGCTGTTTGAGAAGTTATGATCCATAATTGCATCCACATGCAACTTTTGGTTGACTTAGAATTTTTGGGTCTGCTATTTTAGTGCCTGGCAAAATTTGTAGTTCACAAGGATACTTACTTGTAGGTAAAACTCACAAGAACCATGTAGCTATTGGCTTCCTGATCTCGCTTGTCAGTGTGAAAAATATAGTAAAACAAGGTCATTCTGACTTCTGGTCCATTGTTCTCCCTTTTGAATTTGCAAATGAATGCAAAATAAAATGGTAAGGGGAGAGTACACGAAACTGTACCCATCAAAGAAACCTGAAAACAATTGTATCTGATACAGGTAAGAAGCATTTTCTAGGTTGCTTTCCACACCTACCCTCTTAGTCAAAATTTAAAGAAGGGCCTAGGATTAAATCCAGTGTGTGGTAAATCAAAGCAGTTAAGTTTATCAAATGTCACTTCCATTTTTGCAAAATCCTCATGGTTCGGAAGCAAGTACTAGAAGCGAAATAACTATCTGAGATAAATTGCTTATTTTTACTGTATTGGTTTCTATGTATTGCGGTACAGATTTCTCTGGGCGACTTATGCAATTTTCTCTTTACTTAGGCTTCAAGCACGAATTGCTCACAGAATCCAGGAACTGGAAAACTTGCCAGGTTCTCTGCCCCCTGATCTGCGAACCAAAGCGACGGTGGAGTTGAAGGCACTTAGGTTACTGAATTTCCAGCGCCAGGTAATGCCTTTTTCTTAATGAAAATTGTGTGAGATTATAACCAGACATGTTCGTGTAATACAGGATGAACTGGAGAGAGAATCTGTAACAGTACTAAGCCTGAAAATGGGATTTTGTGTGAGAACAAACTTGAATTATGAGCATGTAGTAGAAATGTTTAACTTAGACTTTGTTTTCTTATTATAAATGTGCAAGTATCCTTTCTCTCTCCTGCTTTTTCTTACATTTTAAAATGTAACCAAAGAAATGTACCTTTCATAAAGAGGCATATGGTGGCACAAAGAGGAAATGGTGAGAAGAAGTTGCAAACACATTTCCAACACAAATCCCAGCAGATTACTATTTCTGGACATTCTCTGTGCTTGTCGTGAGTTCCTTCTTTTTGGGAAGAATTGTATGGTGATGGTGGTGTGTAGTTTTTCACTGTGATCTGTTCTGAGAGTTCTACTGTCGCACATAAGCTTTGGTCTTACTGATTTAATTTTCATACCTAAGAGAGAAGTTTGATCTTAAGTGCATGCATAAGCAAATGAATTTCAGAAAGGGATAAACTGTGGTAGGCTCTTATGGACTTCTTGTCATTATTTTTTTTTTTCAACTACTTTTCAGAAGTAGGCGTGTAATTTGACAGGTTTGGAAAAAATACTTCCTGGCAGAAGTCTTTGACAGTAGTTGTCCTCTGATGTCTGAGTCTTCCTTGCTGCTGTCCTGGCACTCCTTTGTAATGAAGTTTTGTCAGAGGACATATTAAAAGCAGCAGGCTCTCTTTGCTGCAGTGCTGTGACTGTGGCTGTACTGTTCCAAGCCTTCGGTATTTCCCTCTTTCTTCTGTCCCCATTGTAGTCATCAACACTCTGAAAAGCATGTTATATGTGTTTTACATTTGCGTTTTATGAACCTTGGCTAGCTCTTATCTTGAAACAGAACAGTGATTTGTGGTATTTTGTTAAGAAGAAATGATGTATGATGAACTCTTTTGTCATCCTTTGGGGGGTTATGAGTTTTACAGAGACAAACATATCTATTGCAGCTGACTAATGCTTGATGTCTTTAGAACTATAATATAAACGAAGGAGGAGGCTGGGAGGTCCCCTGTTATTTTTTCATGTATTAAACCTATTTTGTGGTTTTTTTTAATGTGTTTCTTTTTTTCTCACTGGTAGTTGAGACAAGAGGTAGTAGCCTGCATGCGTCGTGATACAACGCTGGAGACGGCACTGAACTCCAAAGCCTACAAACGAAGCAAGCGCCAGACTTTGAGGGAGGCCCGTATGACAGAAAAGCTTGAGAAACAGCAGAAGATAGAGCAGGAGAGGAAGCGTAGACAGAAGCATCAGGTATTTTGACTTACAGGCTGTTTCCCTGGTCACAGAAATTTACCTTTCTTTATTCTGTTGGTCTTACCTGTTACTTACTTTATTCACCTTTGGAGTTTTTAAGAAACAAAAAACAGAACAAAGCACCTCAAAATCATGTACTAAATAATTGGAAAATGGTGAGGTTAGACCTCCTATGTTCTTGATTTCAAATCCTGTACTTTGTCCAGGTCCTACACTTACTTGTTTCTCCTTCTAGGAATACCTGAATAGCATATTGCAACATGCTAAAGACTTCAAGGAGTACCATCGGTCAGTGGCTGGCAAAATTCAGAAACTTTCTAAAGCTGTGGCAACTTGGCATGCCAACACTGAACGTGAACAGAAGAAAGAAACTGAGAGAATTGAGAAAGAAAGAATGAGGAGACTAATGGTAAGGATTGGAAGGACGGGTATGATTATTTTGGTGAAAATCACTTGTTTTTAATATGTATCCTTTTCATATCTCATAGACAGTCTCAGATACCCATATCTTTTCTTTGCAGACTAAAACCTCTGTGACTTATAAGTATAAATCTGAAACTGATATACTTTGATTATGTGTTTTTAAGTATGGTAATCAGTGTGATGCTGTTCATTTCAGTTTTAGCAGATCTTTTTTTTTTGTCTTCTGTCTACCAGCTTGAAAACTTAGTACAGCCACTGCATTGCTTAATCTCATTAACGTAATGAACTAGCATTTTGCAGAATTGCATGGTTATTGGTCCTCTATATAAATACTGAAGTTGATTTCTAGTTTCATAGTTTTGAAGATTCCACATGATTAATTTGTTTGTCGTATTGCCCACCAACTTTTATATAAAACTGATTTCACATGCAAAAATACATAACCCATAGTAGTAAATAATGCATGTAGCTTGAGAATGAGTGACAGTAAGCTCTACCTGTTAGTGCTCCAGGACCCCTTTGTGTTCTTTCATGATTTTTTCTTCTCTTACCTACACATACTATCAGTATCCTTTTTTAAGATACCGTAGAATGATTTTGTGTGCAGTTGTATTGACAGAGTGCTGTGGAACTGTTGAGTGGGCTGTCAACATTTCTGGGGTTAAAATAATTCTGGATTGTAAAGTGTAGACATATTAATGTTCGTGTGTGCAAGCATATTAGAAACTAGGACTGGAAAGATTTCTTCAAGACATTTGTTAGCTCTGTTCTAACACTATTAGCACTTCACCAGCAGAACTGAATAGGAATTGACATGTTTTTGAAATGATGCTAGTGAAAAAAAACAGTAGGTATCTAAAGTGGGTGCAGATGGAAACATAATTTCATGTATTTCTTATCCGAAATCTATTTCTGCCATGAGTTAAGGACTGTACAGTTTACTTTTAAAAATCACAAAACAGTATGTAGAAACTATTAAATACAAAAATATTAAAAACTTAAAAATGAAAACGTGCAAAATGCAAAGAAGGACTCTCTTAAGAGAAGAATTGTTTAGACTGTAGGGTATTTCTAAAGTTTGTATACTTTAGAACCTGCACTGTAGAGCATTTTTATAATTAGAGATAGTTGTCAGAAGTCTGTGTACTCAGCTATTAAAATATTGATTTGTAAAGGAAAAAAAGAACTAATTGAAAAATAGCATTGTAATGCTTTAAAAATTCCTCAGTGTATCATTGAGGCTAGGCTTGAATCAGTCTAATGTACAATACGGTAAAGAAAAAAGATCTCCGCTACGAGAAAAATGAAGTAGAATCACATGTCTGCAAATGACACAGGATGCCAGTGCTTCCAAACAACAGTTATTTCTCATAAAGCTACTTTGCCAAAGACTGTGGTTGGGCATTTAGCTTAGTTACAGGACTTCATAAGTACTTTCAGTTTAGGGATTTGCCCTCGCAAGTATTTGCCTGACTGCTCAGTTAAGTTCTCCTGTAGCAAACTGTGTTCTGTTAATTGGGTTGCTTTGCCTGTTCAGTTTCAGTCCCATTGTGGTATGTTGCAGTACTCTAAAAAGAACTAAATGGAAGTTCAGCCGCTGATTCCTATCTCTTTCTCTAGGCATGAGGTAAATGCAATTCCTGTTTTTGAAAAGACAGTTGTAGGAGACTTGCCAAGTTGCTTCAGGACAGTTGCTAGTGGGGTTTCATGGGGCTACATTTGAGGTCCTGCTATCTTCAATGCTTTTTTTTTTTTTTTTTCCAATCCTGATTGGGATTCAGGACTTGAATACTAAGTGCATTTGCAGATGATACTCAAATAGGGGAACCTGTAGACTCCTCCAAGGGTAGTGATGCCTTGTGGAGAGAGCTTGACAAATGGGAGGGCTGGGCAGTCATCAACTGCATAAAGTAAAGCAAGTGCTGGATTCTGCATCTGGAGCAGGACAATTCTGAATGTATGTCCAGAATGGGTGATGAAAGGCTGGAGAACAGAGCACAGAAAAATGTCCAGTGATTCTGGTTGACAGCAGGTTGAATGAGTTGAATGTGAGTCAGCAGTGTGTATTATTTTTTTTTAATTTTAATTTCTTTTCACTTTTAGAACTGTTGTAGATTTTTCAATAATTACTATGTGAGAATTGGATATGTCTAGAGTCATATAATTCCTGGATCCCAGAGTGACTCAGGCTGGCCAGGAACTTAGGATGTTTCTAGTCCAACCTCCTTCCCAAAATAGATTTAGCATCAAGGTCAAACTGGGTTGCCCAAGTCTTTTTTCAGTCATGTCTTGTAAACTTCTAATACTTAGAAATGGTACAACTTCTCTGGGCCTCTGTTGTACAGCGTTTCTGGAGAAAAAAGTGCCTTCTAAAATCCAGCATCAGCCACCACTGTTTCAAATTCAATCACTATCTTCCATGCTGAGGTTGGGAAATTTCAAGCGTTGTCTGCATGTCGTCTGAAAAGCAGAAGCAGGTGGGGATTATCACGTGCTGTGATTTTGGGCAAGATTCCTGCTAATATAGTCCAAAATTCTGTATACCTCTGCTGTTGCACCACATTGCCAAATCAATGTTTGTATAAATGGACGTGTATATCCTTTATTGTGCAGCTGCTTGCCTGTTCGTGTTGTTTGAACTTCATCAGGTTCCTTTTGTCCCATTGTCTTGCCTGTTCAGGTCCTTCTGAAAGGCAGCGCAACCCTTGAAGTTATTGACTAATGTCCTTAGTTCTATGTCACATGCAAACTTAACTAGAGTCCCCTTCATCTTTTAGTCTGGGTCATTGGTAGAAGTTTGAAACATGTGCCTTAGGTAGACAATTGTCCTCCAGGTATGGTATGACTCTCTGGGCCTACTTTCTGGTGGACTCTCTGTCCACCTACGCAAATCATGATGTAACCAAAATAGCACATGATTTTTAAGATAGGTATTATCAATTGGGTAATGTGTGTTTCATATTCCTAGGCTGAAGATGAAGAAGGCTACCGTAAGCTGATTGACCAAAAGAAAGATAGACGCCTGGCCTACCTATTGCAGCAGACAGATGAGTATGTTGCTAACTTGACTAATCTGGTATGGGAACATAAACAGGCACAAGCAGCCAAAGAGAAGAAGAAGAGGAGGAGAAGAAAGAAGGCAAGTAATTACACTTGACCTTTTTCTGCAATGTTGTCTTCAAATCCAATTTTAGTTGTTTACTTCCTAAACTTGGCTCAGTCCATCTTATAGGTACACTGAAAATAACTAGGGAGAACTTCGTGCCAGTAGCATGTTTGTTGTGCATTCTTACAATTTAATTGAAGCTTTTAAAAATTATCTTTGTATGACTGGTTGTGGAAACTGAAGAGTGTTATTTCTGAAAAAATAATTTTGTGTGTGAAAGGATAATTCAATAATGATTTGTCATTTTGTGACCTCTGAGTATCTTCTATTTCTTGCAGGATTGTTTAGAGGATTTTTATAATCCATTTCCATGCCTGACTTGCTACTAATTACTGATAAAAGTATAAACATTGTATCTGCATTGTTCACATGCAGCATGCTTAGCCTGATGATAAATAGCACTGACTGAAAAATAATAGTTCTGGAGATTAATTACCTCAAATATACTCTGTGGTTTCTCCTGTCACCCTCCAGAATGTCTGTACTTTTTTTTGAGCATAAATTTTTAACATATACAAAGTCCCCTACGTCTGTAGTCAAGATACAACTTAAATGGAGTTGTTGACCTGTACAGTGAGAACAGACTTGATTTAGTATATTCACAGTAAAAATTCATTGTAGAAACAGAATCATAGACTCATTTCAGTTAAAAGGCACCTTTCAAGGTCATCTAGTCCAACTTCCTTGCAATGAACATGGATTCTGCAGCTAGATCAGGTTGCTTAGAGGTCCTGTGTAGCCTGACTTTGAGTGTCTCCAGAGATGGGGCATCCACCACCTCTCTGGGCAACCAGTGCCAATCCCTCACCACCCTTATTATAAGAAACATCTTTCTTATATCCAGTCTAAATCTCCCCTCCTTTAGTTTGAAACACTTTCCCCTAGTCCTGTCACAGCAAATCCTGCTACAGAGTCTGTCCTTTTCTTTATTACAGCTCCCCTTGGAGCCTTCTCTTCTCTAGGCTGACCAACCCCAGCTCTCTGAGTCTGTCCTCATAGAAGAGGAGTTTCATCTCTTGGCTCATTTTTTGGTGCTCTAATAGGTTTACATCTCTCCTGTAATGAGGAGACAGTGTAATGTGTACATTTACTACTATAACAAAATGTTTGAATTCCTTTGATAATGTGTTGAGCTCTTTGTCTCCATGATGCTCAGTTTAGCTATGTATGAGGAACAAAGTATCTTATAGCAGTGTCAATAAAGACATGATTTTCTTTCACAGAAGTAAAATGTCAGTGTGTTACAGTGCTTATTAATGTCCAGGCCTTTCTTGACCTAAAACCTAATGAAAGATTAGCAATAAAATATCTGAGCTCTTAATAGTTGTTTTTAATTATCCTCTTTCCATCAAACTTTTGCTCATCTGTTAGGAATACAGGAGAGTGCATGCAGATATTACTCTTTTACTGACTTAGAATTCTGTGAATTTGTTATTGCATGGCTACAGCATGCATTGAAGTTGGTGGCTGCTGTGTCTTTTTCCTAGTCTTTTGTTGTTTTTCCTAGTTTTTTCATATGTGCCCATAAGTGCTTCATAATCTACATAAAGTGAAAATTAATCTATGAGCACCCACGGTTATTTGTTTCATACAGAGAAATGAATGAAAAGAGTTCTAAGAATTTTCTCCTACAAATCGCAGTGAGGTAATAGGTCATGAAAAAATACATGTTGCTTTTGCCAGGTGTAAATTTATGCAGTCAAAGTGAACCTCTTATTCTTTAGTTGTGTGCTTGAGTTGTAAGCATTGATTATAACTAATTTGCAACAACCTCTACATGTTAGAGACAGTCTCAAATGCAAAATAATGGGTGTCTGTCCACCTCCTCGTTCATCCAAGGAAAAGTAATATTCTCAAGTAAATGAAGTCTTTGCAGTTGAGGCCAGATACGTGTTGTTGTAACTTATCCTACCACTCAGTATGAACTGGTTTAGATCTGGCACAGTTCCTTTCTCTGTCAGTAGATGATCATGCTGCTCTGAAATGCTAAAGCAAGCAGCCTTTGAGCTCATATTGATGTTGACCTTAACTGGGCAACAGCTACTTTTGTATTGAGCAGGACCAATGATATTTGTATTGTCCAGGAAAAAGTATATAAGCCTCTCCTTTTGGTTATTTTTTTCTGTTAAAAAATGTTATATATCCTTGAGGTCCCTTCCAACTCGGGCCGTACTATGATTCTGTGATTATATTTTATAAATATTTTAAAGGCTCTAGACAAAAAGTAGGCTTAGCTGAATTAGTCTGGTTTTTTTGTAATACAAGAGAAAGAGTAGTTAACAGAGTTCAGTAGGTATGTGTGTTGAAGTATGAAGGTTATGTAAAATGAGAATCAAGTTTTTCAAAATGTGAAATTGGCCCATTTCTATTGCTGCTCTTTCACCTGGAGTTCGTGCCTTGGAGATGGATTCTAAGGGCAAAGAATTCGTTTTGATTGGAAACAGATATTGAGGATCATCTCAGTGTTCAGAAGTGCAGCTTGTCTATGCTTTAAAAGAAAAAAACAAAGCAAAGCAAAATAAAGCAACCAGAATTATGTAAATTTATAGCACCTGTTAACAGTACTTGAAAGTTGTTTAAAATACAATTTGAAAGATCTGTTCTTGTTCTCAATGTGATCTATTTGCACTGGTAACCCAAGTAAAACTGTGCTGTAGTGTATCAAAGTCTGCACTGTTATGAGACAGAAGCTGCATCTGTCCTTAGCTGTTTTCAAAACTATTTAGGGAAGTGCCACTTCAGAAGCCATCTGTCTTCCATTTTTTTCATGTCATCTCCGCATTTTTAAATAGGGTAAATGAGGACAGAGTATGGTGAAGAAACACCTTATTTCTCAGAGTAATGTCTTGAAAGATAAACATCCAACTCACTCCAGCTATTACCATCAAACTTCTTTTTATTTGTAAATTGAGCAACTGTGGTCTGAATTTAAGATATAGCACAAAAAATTTCCAAAGGGCTCTGGTAGTTAGTGTCAGACCAAAAATTAATTGTTTACATACCCAAATTAAAAGTACATGCAGAAATATATCATCTGTGATGCTTGGTGACATCTCTGAAACTGAGTTTAAATCAGTTTAGAAGAAATCATGAGTAAATCACGTGGAAACTGTTTGCTGTTGACACTCTCTGTAAGCACTGAGCTGTGATCATGATGAGAAATTCAGAAGGCTAGCCATTTTTCAGATTCATTGCAAGGACTGGAGGTGTTGTATGTACCATGTGATAAGTGGGCTGTGTGTGCAAATCTGTCTGTATCCATCTTTTCTAAACTACATGGATTCCAGACACTGCAGACATGGATTGAGACCTATTTGTGGTGCAGAGTAATATAAATGTAATATCAATTATTCAATATGTAATATCAAGTATTCAGTATGTTCTTGTGACTGATCATGATGCTCTTTACTTCGTTTTTTGTAGAAGGCTGAAGAAAATGCAGAAGGCATGGCATCTGGTCTTGGTCCTGATGGAGAGGTATTGTTTTACAATTTTACAACTTCTCCAATGATTGTCTTGTGGTATGTGCCACTGAGATAGCTTCACCAAAAGTCACGCCCTCAAATGCTTGAAGACCTGTTGTTTCTGAGCAGAAAAAAATGCTATCCAGATTAACATTCATGTTGAAGTTCTGTCTAATAAAAAAGATGGAAGAAGATTGAAACAAAAATGTGTCGAATGTATCACTGAGTGTATTGATTAATTCCTCTTAGTTTTTTTATGTGCTTAAAAGTAAACAATTTTCTTGCAACCCATGAGTAGATGTAATTTACTTTTTAAAATGTGGTTGTAATCACCTACATTCTAGCTTCTCAGTAAATTAAAAATTATTGCCACTGTCAATTACCTCTGCTAGAATCATGGAATGGCTTGGGATGGAAAAGATCTTAGAAGTCATCTAGTTGCACCCTCCTCCCCACCGTGGGCAGGCTTCCAGATATAGGATGGATGATAGTGGAATGATGACTTAATGTATCAGAATGTTCCTGCTTGCTCAGGCAGATAAAAATGATTAATTTTTTCTGAGTCTTTCTTTGATTAATACTTTTTTATAATAACAACATAATGAAGCAGAACATATTCTGTTTCATTAACATCCTGTTAATGCTGTTTTTCTGTTCCATTTTCACATAAATACTTCATAATTTTAGGTATTATTTTAGTTCTCATCTTTTTTTATGCTTTAAATAGACTTCTCCTGGTATAGTTGAAGATTTATCATAAACTCCATTAATGCAGTTTCACACTGCTCAAAGAAAATACACATGATAGCACTTTAACTTTGGAATTTGTGAAGAGTATAAGTTTTAAACTCAGTGAATTTGTTTTTAACTGTTTTATTTATTTTTTCCTACTTGTGCATATTAGGAAAGAATTCTTCAGTGTAGGCAGTAGTAGAAGGCAAAAAGTTTTTAAAGTAAAAATTCTGTGATTAAGTAGGAGGAAGTAACAGAAAAGTGTAATCTTGCTCTTCTAGTTTTTAACAGAAGTGGAGTTAGTAAGAGGACTTCTTATTGCAAGTATTTTATGAACGTAACTGAAGTAGTCGGAAATCTTTAGAATAGATCTGTATGGGAAAAGAAGGTGATGATGGTGCCTTCTAGAAGGATGCATTATGGAGCAATAGCAGGTGGCAGAGACAGAAAATGGGATAACCCCTTCCAGTGACCAGTGGTGGCTCAAGAGGAGTGCAGTCTCTATCCAGAGATGCTGTTCCATTGGCTGCTAACCCTTAAAACGAGTGTGAGGAGGGGTGATCAATTCCTTCTGGTCACTGAGGTGCTTTGTTTGCACTTGAGCTCCTGGGGTGAGCCATGTCTGGCGGCTCAGCCATTGGTTCAGACTGTGAACTGGCAATTCTGCTGCAGGCTTTCTTTACTTAAAAAGTTTGAAATTGTTATGTCCTCAACTCTCTGTGTAAGAGAAAAGGCCACAAGGTATATTTCTTGTTGTAGATGTCTATTGGTATTAAGAACTGGAATTAAATGACCATAAGCATACAAACCTTATGTCTTCTTTCATAAAGGTCAGCACTGTCTTCTGCTCACTGTTGCTCTTTTTAATCCAATTGAAATCCTGTGGTATATTTGTGTATGTCACATAAAGATATGTTACGTACAGAAATACTGTCATTCAGAGTTGGCTTCATAGCCACGTGGGAAGCTGTGTCTACTAATAAGACTTTGCTCCTTGTTCAGATCTATAATTCTGAAGTTGCTGTTTTTCATTTTGCATGGCAAGGATGAAATTTAGTTGCCTTATGGTGTGAAATTTTGCTTGAATTTTTAGCCCATAGACGAGAGCAGCCAGATGAGTGACCTTCCAGTCAAAGTGACTCACACTGAAACAGGCAAAGTTCTTCTTGGTCCAGAGGCACCAAAAGCAAGTCAGCTAGATGCTTGGCTGGAAATGAACCCTGGGTAAGTACTTAGCATATGTGTGGGCTTTTCTTTTGATTTGCTTTAATTGATTTATCTTAATTATTCTTTTTTCTTTTTTACTTATTCCTTCTCCTTTCAATTTACTACGTGTAAGCTGAATATGACATTTGTTAACCTTATCCCTCCTCCTTTTATTATCTGTAATTCATATGCTGTCTTCTCTGTGTAGCTATGAAGTTGCTCCCAGGTCAGACAGTGAAGATGAAAGTGGTTCTGAATATGAGGAGGAGGTATGTGTCTTTAAAGAAATAATAATAACAGTAATAATGTGACAAGTGTTCCAGTAAAAACCAAACTCTTATCCCATATAATATTCTCGTCTTTTTAGTAAGGTCAGAAGAAAACCAGTACCAGATGTCCAGTTGTTTTAAGAGTGAAAACGTAGGGAATTGTGTTGGAGGCTTAGATTCAGGCTGTTGAAATCAAGTTTATTTGATTCGGTACTTCATTGGTGACTTAAATACAGCTGTTCCAAAGGTTAAAAAAGGGAAGAATTTTAAGATTAATACATGTGAATGTCCTGACTCTGAAGCACCTGTCAGGGTCTGAAAGTGGGGATTTGTGGTTAGCTGATCTGCAGGTGCATAGTTATCAGTATTATGACCTCATAGGATTCCTTACTGCAGGGACACTGAGCCTTTTTTTATTAAACATTTTTGTTTTTTAAAGATTTCCTGTCAATACATACCACTGCTAGCAAGAATACTGTGGTTAGTGAGGTTAATAACTGTGTGTTTGGATAAAAAGCTACTGTATGTATCAGATAGAAAGGATATAGTAACAATGAATAGTAGCAGTAATTAGAGTTAGTAACTAAGATGCAATTTGAGGTAGGAAGATCACTAATACAGTAGCAGATACGGTTTGAAGAGAACTGCAGGTTCAGTGAAGTTTTTGGCAGTACTCTGACAACAATAATATTCAGGGATTCCAAATTTACCAATGCAGCAAACAGACTTGTGATCGGTTATACCTACCAGTGGATACTTGAGAGCTTATGTATGTGCATACGTATTTGTAAAATTACTGATATCAATTGCATCAAATAGATTTCAAAAATGGGGGTGGAGGGGAATCTAGAACTTATCTCAGGAGAGGCTGACGGCTCCCAGGAGTGGGCCCGTAAGGGAAATCCAAATAAGGGACATAGCCTTGATTCAGAGTTGATCTGTGTCGTGGCATGTGCAGTATCACAGAGTTTAATTTTCAGTGTTGGTGAGTCACAGAGTTCATTCTGTTTACCAGTGAAGCTTCAGCCTATTTCTGAAGAGAAATTAAAAACCAATTAAAAGGAGTATATGCAACATGGTAAGATTCTCAGAGACAGAAGCTCTGCCTTGGATGGAAGTTATGCCGTTTTTATATTGAGACATAAGAGGGCGTAGGACTCCACTGCTTAGGTGCTTTAATTTCTGTTTTCCTACTGAGAAATACAAGGATGATGTTTCTTGTTTTCCTTTATTTTCTTTAAACAAAAATTTATTTCTCACTTTGATTCTCATTTTCTCAGGTGATAAATTGTTCTGTTTCTAGTTTCTTTTTTGTCAGTGATATTTTCAGGGTGCCTCTGGTATTTGGTATTCAGCCACACTTGAAGAATGCCCTCAGTTCCCAGGCAGAGCTCCTATGTTTGAAGGCCAAGTTCTCAGGCTTGGTTTCTTCAGGTTGCTGACGGCTGTGTCACTTGGCAACAGCAGCAGGGGGTAGTAGTCTGTAAGTTGTACGAAGTCTGGCAGCCTCTCTGTCACTGTTGCAGGCCCCTCACAAGCAGCAGACCTCTTTAGGTAGCAGGCCAGGATGACAAATGGGTGCCTCTGTACCCCTCCCTCAGAAGAGAATCACCCACCGCTATCACCCATCACTTTTCCTTAGCTGCAGTAGTTGTTATCCAGTGGGAATCATGTCTATCTGTCTACCTCAGTTTAGACGAATTAGGTCAGTCAGCTGTCACAGGAGGTCCTCCAAATGGGCACATCTTAACACAGTCAAGTTTGCCACTCACCTCTGCTCCAGGAGAAAGGTCCAGACACTACCCACAGACCACAGTCTGCACAGATGCATCTTCCTTTAAAAGCTCTGGCTGAGTGGATGTTTTCAGACTGAGTTTTCAGGCTGGCAGACATATTTGCTCCTGTTTGTGTTGAGAATCATTTTATGTCAGAATTTTTCTCATTACACTCAGGTTACCTTGCTAACTGCTCCCTCAGGATTGTAGCATTAGATACAATCATACAGTCATTGATCATTAGATGATCAATGCCAGAGGTTCCACACTGTTTTTCAGACAAATACTTTCTAAAGGAGAGAAGAGCTTAGGAGTGGAGAAATACTAATTCTTGTAGAGGACTGCATGTATTAAGATGGGAAGTAAGGGACTAGTATCTGTCAGATTTGGGCCACAATTGAGATGTGCCTATGTTTCTAGTACAGGCTCTTCAGCATCTGTTGTTCTGAGTTGGGGAAATGACTCACAAAAGTCAGTATTCTTTCCTCTTTCTCATTTCTGAAAATTTAAGTTGCTGTTGATCCATTACTGCTGTAGGCAGAGGGAAATTAAATGATTTTTAAAAGAAAAAAAATGTAATTTTTTAAAAATAAGAAATGAAAACCTGTGAAAGACCACACTTGCCAATTTTTTAAACTGCATAAAATTGTCACAAATCTGGAATACAGTACAAAAGCATGCGTAGTTGTGGAATTTTCTCCCTGTACTGAGTAGACATAGTAAGACTTCTTAAAATAAGATGATTGAAGGGGAAGATACTTCTTATTTCAGAGATTTGTGACCTTATGTTGAAGAATGTATGTCAAACATTATATTTCTGTTTTGCTGTAGTGCAGTTCTATAGAAACATAAGTGTAGGATGGACTTCTGGATTCAAGTTCCTGTCATAAAACATTGACCAGTGAAACCTACCAGTTTGTGAATGCCCACTGAAAGTATCATTCAGAAAGTAGTTACATTTTCTAACAGCTGTTTCTTCTTCTGTGTTATGTAGGATGATGAGGAGGAATCAAGCAGGTTAGAGGCAGATGAGAAGATACTCCTGGATCCTAACAGTGAAGAAGTTTCTGAGAAGGATGCTAAGCAAATCATTGAGTGAGTGTTCTGCATGTGCTACTTTTGTTTTTACTTTTGTTAGGAATTGTGATTTCTTATAGTGGTGTCCCCCAGGAATGGCTTGCTGTAGTTTACAGTGAGTTATAGCTGCTTCTTTGACAAGAAAATCTGCAAAAGGCAGCATGTAATAGTTGGCTATCTTATGTACTGCTAGAAGACTAGCTCCATCCAGAGCACTTGCCAGAGTTTGTGATTAGCACTTCTTTACAAATAAATGTGACCTACGGTCAAAACATACTGTTTACTTTTTTCATTGTTGATTTGTTTGTTTCTGGAAATTTACTTTAGTCATTTCTCTGCTTTGCAGGACTGCCAAACAAGATGTGGATGATGAATACAGTATGCAATATAGTGCTAGAGGGTCTCAGTCCTACTACACAGTTGCACATGCTATCACAGAAAGGGTGGAAAAGCAGTCTTCTCTTCTAATTAATGGCACACTAAAACATTATCAGGTGAGAAATAATTGAAACATCATAATATTTAAAATTCGGACAATGTTAGGTATTTCAATGTGGTATTTCAAGTGACAAACCCAAGGTTTTTTTAAGTATTACAAAAATTCAATTAGGTTAGAAATAAGGATTCACATGAACAAAGATATCGGTTATCTATTACAGATAATAATTAATGCTTAGTGCTTGAATTATAATACAACTTTATCTGTGTACTTGTAACATTTTTCATTACAGTTCAATATTGTTTTGTTTTTACTATCCTTCTTGGACCAGCGACTGAAACCATCTTGGTTTCAGTTTTGCTTAAAATTTTCATTTGTGGTGTTTAATAGTAATCTTTTCTTCCAATATTTTAAAAGTTGAGAATTTAATATTTCAGTTAAAATCCTGACGTTTCAGTATACTGATGCACTACAGTTTGGAGAGAAAGAAAACATTTACTATGGAGGATAACATCTCATACTCTTTACAGACATTTAATGGATTTAGTTACTTAAGAGTTTCTGTGTTCTGGCCTAAGCAGAATACACTGAAAATGTCATTAACAGGTGTTTTTGGCACTTCGAATGTTGTCTTGTTTTCCAGGGAGCTCTATGGACTTTGCATCCTTTATGCCATCTGACCACTCCATTATCTGCATATCCAAATTCAAAACAAAAAAAGCTATTCTCTGAGTTACCATAAATATGTATGTCTTTGCACTTCCAGAGAACTGGGAGGAAGACTATTTCCTAAGTGCTCAGTGTGTCAGAATTAGTCCCTGTTCTGTATGGTTCTCAATACTATCATATATTACAGTAGCTTGTTTAAGTTACTTAAAATTCAAGTGTTACGCTAATTTTGTCTTTTGAAAGCATTTCATTGTTGGTTTTTTTTTTAATTGAACTCCTCTACATGGTGGGAGAACAAGAGAATGAACAAAAGGTGAAACAAGCATTCAGACTGGTTGTATGGTCCAACTTTTTCCCTGCAAGGACAATGGAGCAAAGCCTCAGAGCAGTTTTATTATCTCCTTCCTAGAAGGTTTTCAGTACCTAAGCAGACCAAGCCCTGAGCAACTTGTCTTAGCCTGTTATGATCATGGTTTTGGGCTAAAGATTTCCTGAAACCTATTCCAAAATGAATTACTGCATGATCCTATGTTGGTCCAAAGCAAAACTCCATCTGAATTTGAATTACTTTCTCAAGTTTTTGCAAAAGTGTTTCACATTGAGTACTCAACAAAAAGAGAAAGTTGTTATTTATTAACTGATTTTTGAAAGTGCTGAGTTAACATTTCTAGCACCATTGAGGAACTATTACTAAGACAAGATAGAATCTGATTCACTCTTAGGATAAATATGTGACTTTCTTGGCTCTGAGGTCCTCTTTATTTTTACAGCCTCATTGTCATATGTTGTCCAGGCTGTACACCAGATGAAGCAGGGATTCATCACAGGCTTGTTTACTGCGTAATCCTTATTCATTGTCTGGGAAGGTTAATTTGATGCAATAAATAAAGTCAGTGTATGACAGTATAAATTTGATGGCCATATTAGCTTAACATGCTCATGGACAGGAGCGTGACAATTCTTCTTCCTGTATTTTAATTATTTTTTGAAGCATAGAGATATTGTTAAGTCATGTTGATCTGTGTTTTGCAGTGCAATTTCCCTGTGTATCACAGAGTAAAATAATTCAATCTGTGGAGTTTGACAAATAGTGGCAGAAAATACCAGTTAGAACAGATCCTTCAGCTATTTAAGTGATATCTAGCAATTGAACTGGGGATTTTGTTCTTCATTATATCTTTTCTATTTGATGATTACTACTACAAGAAATAAGAGTCATATTTGGCAGAAGAGCTTATGGCAAGAGCATTAAGGCTTGTCCGTGGTTCTAGCAGAAATTTTTTAAGGAGACTTCGGTGTTTTGCAGCTGTCCCCTTGAACCTCTATACTTTCCTGTCCTCTGTATTTTATATCCTTTTTTCCTTCTTAGCTTTTTTTTCTGCTTTTCCGTATTTCTTACTGTCAAATTTGGTTAGATTCTTTTCTTGACGTAAGAGTACTCACGTATGTCAGGAGAGGAAGTTGAATGATACAGGAAGGACTGGCTTCCTGTCCTCAATTCTGAAGCTACTTGTAAGTGAAACATACAGTTGCAGAATAAATTCTGATCTGCTCTTGATGTCTTGAGTTCAATAAAATTAGTTTCCAGAGAACTTAGTACCCAGATGTAAATCAGTAAGCACATACATAAGCCTAATAAATCAGCAGCATTATTTTGAATGTTTTCTTGCAGAGACAGTGGAAGGTTACTTCAGACATACATTGTTTTCTCTCTCAACTTTCTTGGACTTCATAATTTAGTTTTCTCTTCATGTCTGAAACGCACTGAAAGTCTGGATCTTAGAAACAGAAACTTAGATTGCAATTGTATAAGTAATCATATACATACACACATGGAAGACCACGTGACAAGTCAATAATGTGAATCCTAAAACTGTGGTTATAGCTGTGCTTTCTAGTAATGCTCTCTGAAATGTAAAGGTCTCCTGTTATATAGATATCTCTTAGCTACAGTACTCTGGAATCTTTCCAGCTCTGGGATTTTTATATACAAGGTATATAAACGGGGTGTTCTTTGACAAGGAAATACTGACAGGCAGATACTGGTGTCTGCTACAAGAGGCTCAGAACATCAGTGATGCAGTTGGGAAGTGTGAGGGCTTACCAAACACAAGAGATTTACAAGTGTTGCACAGAATCAGCAGGTTTGATTTTAGAAGATTTTTGATGAGGCACACAAATTGTATTCAAAATGCGCAAGAAGCTTCTGATTTCATTAGTGCTAAAACTGAGGGAGAAATTCATGTAATGTCAGGTGTTCGTCAGCCTTATAAAAGAGTGCCTGCGTTTCTTTCTGCAAAAAATAAAAAAATAAAAAGTATTTCTCCATGTATGAAATCTGACTACATTTTGGTCTTTTCCGGTGAACAGGAGACAACATTTCGATATAGCTATTACCAGGAACAATCCTGAAGGATTTTTTTGTTTTGTTTTTGTTTGTTTGTGTCTGCTTATTTTTGTTTAGGTAGGGAGGGAGTGAGTAGTGGGTGATTACAGCTAGAGGAGAAAGAGAGAAAAGAAGTTAAGATAGGCGGAGATTCTCGTGCTCCTAGAGTTATTGAAAGAAACCCAGCATTTAACTAGGCAGGTCATGAGAATCTTCAGATTTTTACTGTTGATGTTAATTACTTGTGCATGTTTTAAATAACAGAAAATATTATTCTTCATTTCAGCTTCAGGGACTGGAATGGATGGTTTCACTCTATAATAACAATCTGAATGGGATTTTAGCTGATGAAATGGGTCTGGGAAAGACAATACAGACTATTGCACTTATCACTTACTTGATGGAGCACAAAAGGCTCAATGGCCCCTATCTCATCATTGTTCCTCTTTCGTAAGTAGAGAACGTCATTCATCTATTATAATTCTAAGCATTACAGGTTGATTTTTTAGGAATACATGCTTGTTTTCATGTTGTACCAAGATGAGGGGGCACACTGAGACACACTGCACATCTGTGCTTTCGTTTCGGTTTCTTCCCAAGTAATTGTCTGGAACCAGAAGGTTAACCACATGGCTCATCAAAGAACATGTTTCCACTGGTTTCATGTCTTGTTCTTTTTACAAAACATATAGTGAATTTACCATTGTTTACTCCTTAACCACAAGAGGAGAATGGCATTTTCTTTCAGATTACATACCTGCAGATCCCCCTACTGCTTTAACAGTGATACTCAAAATCTGTTTTTTAGTTCTTTAAACAAATGTTGCCCCATCAAATAGTAAGTAATACTTGATTAAGATAGGATAGTTTTTTAATTACTGTATGGCTAGCCCTTGCTGTAGCTTTGATGTGTGAATTCACAAGTTGGTCATTTGTGCAATATTATGACTGTAATAATCTGTCTTACTGCCCCCTGTTCCAAGGGGGCAGATTTCCAAGATTCTACTTTTTATAGTAGTTTTATAGATTTTTTTTTTTTGCAATGAATTTTGCTTTCACCAAAGACAAGGTGTGAGTTCCAGGGATTTGAAATGCTGAGTTTTAAAGAAAAGCCATTAGGTATTGTAAAATGAATGTAACATCTTGAGGATTTGTTTTCTTATATTTGTGTGTACGTGATAAATGTCTTGATTTATATACAAAGTTCCTTGTCCTTACTGTTAGATAATTCATCTACTGATTGTGTAGAGCATGCAAGTACTGTAGGATTGGGATATATTTTATTCATGGCCATCTTTTATGATTTCTTTTTAAGCATCCTGTTTTCTCACTGTGCTGCATTAGTGGTTAAGTAGCATAAATATCATAGCTATACCTTATTCTATGAGGACATGTGACATGCTCAAGTGAGCAGAAATGACAAGAAGAAACACTATAAAGTAAAATGAAGTCAAAAATAAGGGATGTTATTAATATGTATTTTCTTACAGGCACAGTAAAATTGTAAAATTTCATTTGAGTACTCACTATTGCTTTTTTCCTGTTTTTGTTTCTGAAAGAGAAGAGCTGAAATTCTTATAGGCTTTACAAAAGCCTTCTTTCTCCATCTTTTTCCATATTCTAACATTAATAGCCATTGCTTCTGCCATTGCAGGTCTAGTTATTGAAAGAAAAAAAAAAAGATCTACTTTTGCTGCATTTAAAAAGCTGTTTGTTGTGACCTTGTGGTGGAAATAAAGTGCAGATGTCAGGACCTGCATAGTTGCACTCAATGACATTAACGTCATTACAGTGGAAAATAGATGAATTCTACTGTCAACATCATAAGGCTGTATTTTACAAGTTACAAACTCACTTTGTGGATCCTAAGTAGTGTAAATAATTCACAAATATATTTTCTATTCTGGTTTACCTCTCCTGCCCATAATATACTCCAGAATATCAATATTACTATAAAATACAATCTGAATTAATTTTGACGAGGCTTCTGAATGTGAGCTGAAAGATATTTTTCCCAATTTTTTCCTGTTTCCATTTCTCTCAAATGCAAGATTTTTGTTACAGTATATGATTTTTATTTTCTTTAATTTACTTAATTTAATTATGGGGATTGATTATATGGAATGTGTTGAAAATTATGCATCCACTGGGAATTACAATCTGAATTACAAGTAATGAACTATTTCTTCATCTATGGTAGGACGTTATCCAACTGGACATACGAATTTGACAAGTGGGCTCCTTCTGTGGTGAAGATATCTTACAAGGTTTGATTCACTTTTTATGCGATTATAAATGTGAAGGGTTGAGAATAAAGACTGTTTTTCCTTTGCTTCTGCACGCATTTCCAAATTTGTCACATATATTTCATGTACAAGCAGTGAGAATTAATCATCCTGAGAAGATGACTGTAATGAACTATAATTGCTTTCAGATAGTGAAATGCAGAAGAAAATTGTTAATTACCATATTTTGCAAAGCTTCTAATGAGAACAATACAAATGAGCAATACTTCCCATTTTATACATAGCTGACTACTTTGCCTTTTGACTACCGTAGTAGTGATGAGGAAGACAATAGTGATAAGACTAGACTAGCATGTTTTCATTCCCTGGTGTTTAAAAAAAAGAAAAAGAAAAAAAGAAGATTGTGTATTCTGTATTCTAGCAGCAAGTTAGGGGAAGGACATTGAGTAAGTTAGGAATATATAAATAAATTCTTTTCAATGCTATAGGATTCATGTGCTTGCTCTGTGTCTACTTATTCCTAAAAAGATGGACCTGATTACTTCCTTGGAAGAATGAATAACAAAATACTCATTTCCCTCTCTCTTTTAGGGTACACCTGCAATGCGCCGCTCACTTGTTCCTCAGCTTCGAAGTGGAAAATTTAATGTTCTTTTGACTACATATGAGTACATAATAAAGGACAAACATATTCTTGCTAAGGTAATAATGACTATTGTCTCTTAATGGAAAGATGTACAAATACTTTCATATGGTACACAAAACAGAAACGTAGAATCATAGAATGACTTGGGTTGAAAGGGACCTTAAAGATCACCTAGTTCCAACCCCCTGCTGTGGTCAGAGTTGCCACCACTAGATTAAGCTGCCTGAAGCCACATCCAGCCTGTTTTTGGACACTCCGGGGATGGGGCATCCACAGCTTCTCTAGACAGCCTTGTTGCAATGTTTCACCAGCCTGTGAGAAAAAAAATTTCCTCCTAGCATCTAAATCCCTGCTTTTTTAGTTTAAAACCATTCCCTTTGGCTCTGTCACTGTCAGACCATGTAAAAAATTGATCCCTCTCCTGCTTATAAGCTCCCTTCGTATACTGGAAGGCTGCAACGTGGTATCCCCAGAGTCTTCTCTTCATGATGAGCAACCCCAGCTCTCTCAGCATTTCTTCATAGGAGAGGTGCTCCAGCCCTCTGAACATCTTTATAACTCTGGACCCCCACTAACAGCTCCGCAACGTCCTTGTACTGGAAGCTGCAGCCTTGGATGCAGTACTCTAGATGGAATTTTTGCTGGATAATAACTGACAATATGAGCAACTTTATTTCAGCATCCACTGCGACTTTCAGCTTCCGCATTAAAAACTAGAAAGCTACTTGGAAGTATAGTAACAGAAGTGATCTTAACTATCCTGCTTCATTCACAAATAAAAACATGACACTAGTTGAATCAAAGCGAGGTTGAGGGTTTGCTGTTCCTTGAAAGCTTAGTTATTTGGATTGAAAATTCTTTTGTCTTTTGTCAAGGTTGTTGTTGCAAACAGATTTATTTGGAAATCGTAGTCTCTTTCTTCCCATCTAAATCATATTCTGACCTTAAGTAGTCAGACATCCCAAATTCTTTTTGCTGTTTGTAAGGCCACCCGTGCTTCGATAATGCTCGATATATTTTTTATTTCATTTATTGATGTTTCACATTTGAAATATTTTTGATTTATACCTGTTGGGAAGAATTTCTGTCTGGCTTAGCTTTGCCAACTTTTTTTTTTTTTTAATTTTTTTTTCTTTTTCCAGATTCGATGGAAGTACATGATAGTAGATGAAGGTCATCGAATGAAGAATCATCACTGCAAACTGACTCAGGTCTTGAACACTCACTATGTGGCCCCTAGACGAATACTACTGACTGGGACACCATTGCAGAATAAATTGCCTGAACTGTGGGCTCTTCTCAATTTTCTTCTTCCAACCATTTTCAAGAGCTGTAGCACCTTTGAACAGTGGTTCAATGCTCCATTTGCCATGACAGGAGAAAGGGTACTGTATCAGGATTTTTTTTTTTTTTTTTTTTGAACATCAGAAACAAAATACTTGGCGTGAGCTCCATTTTGTTTTCAGAAGCACAGTAGCGCTTAAATTCTCTCTGGTATTTAAGGATTTAATGGCAGAAAATTTCATTTTTTTTTTTTTTTTTTTTTAACTCTGAATCAGTTTGATTGTAACATACAATTAATGCACATACTTAGCTTTCATGTGAGATAAGACATGACATAGTAAGTAGTCTTGTATTGCTTCTATAAACTTCTGTAGGTGGACTTAAATGAAGAAGAAACTATTCTGATCATCCGTCGTCTCCACAAAGTACTCCGACCCTTCTTGCTGAGAAGACTGAAGAAGGAAGTGGAGTCTCAACTGCCAGAAAAGGTTTGCAGTGAAAGAATTTGTGGAAGGGGTCTAATACATTTTTTTAAAGTATTATAAGATTTTTTTCAGATTTATTTTACGGAAGAGTGGTTCTTTAACAACTGTGGGTAGCTTTTTTTTTTTTTCGTAACTCCTTGCAAAGAAGGCTGAGGAATCCTGAAGACCTGAAGTTTCTGTATTCTCAGTCTTCATCCTCAGTCTTGCAGCTTTAATTCTATTTGTAGTCAACCATGATAAGTGTAAGGCCATCAACTTAGTTCTCTTGGAATTTGAAGTGGTAAGTGGGCATTAGATTCTGTCCTATCCCATCTTCCCCACACTGGGTAGAACCTTTTAACCATCGCACAGAAAATAATTATTATTACTGACATTATAAAGTGGACAGAATTTTATTGTAAATTTGTAACTCCTATTGCAGGAGTTCTGAGTTACGTGGAGTGTCAAAAGTTTATTTTGTTTTGTTTAAACGTAGAATGTAGATTTGTAATCAGAATGTAAAATTATGTTCTGATTTGAAATATTGTCTTCATGCATCTCATTTTGTCCTATTCCATCTTCCTCTGCTGTCCTGTATCACCTTTCACTTTTATTCTTCTCAAAATAACGACAGTAGATATGTTGATATGGTTTTTTTCTGTTTTTTTTTCTGTTTTTTTTTAAAGTAAATTTGAAAGCACAGGAAGGAAAAATTTGCTTCTAAGGTCTTCTGGGTTGAAGCAGTACCAGAAATGATTTTTTTTGTATGTGTGGCATTTCATGAGTTAAAGAACAGTGACTGAATGAACAAATAGCTCTGTACATACATACTTAAATGGAAGGTTTAAGTCTTTCTCATTTTTGTGGCTTGTGAATGCTGTTACTGCTGTGGCTTTCTGTTCCTTCAACAGTCAGGTTATTAACACCCTCCTATGCAACATCTTTTTGAGAATGAAGCATACTTAACTTTAAAAATATTAGTAATTTTTTTTTTTAAATTCTAATTTAGACTTCTAATTTAATCCTAATCTAGTGGACTCTAAGTCCAGTTAGAGTCAGTGTTTTTGATAAATCTGTTAACAGGCACTGGAGAAGGGAGGCTTTAGAAGTTTTTGTTTCCAAACCATGTTCAGAAAAAAAAGTAGTTACTTCAGCTAAGAGCACTGAACTTGTTGACCCAATCAGTTCTGTTTGATCTTATTACATCTTGGTAAAGAAGACATTAAAGAGATAGTTACTTCACTTTTTATGATTTCATCCTCCTGTCCTTTTAATATGGAAATAACTTTATAATTTTTATTGGTTATATATTACTTACTAGACAGCTTATTTTTCTAGTCCTTTTGTAAGATTTCTGGTTAATCCGGCTTTATTATGGGACTGCTATTTATTCATTTATTTATGTTTACACATAATTAAAAACATAATGCCTGTAATTCGGAAGTTGGGTGGTAGAAAAAATATGTTAGAATGGAATATGAATTGATTTAAAGGCAATGAACAGTCAAAACTTGCTTTCATAAATGCAGTTATACAAAGGAGAATAAGAACTTAAACTGACTGCATTCTAGTTTAGGTATGCATAATGCTAGATAGGCATGTAAGGGATACTTATGCTTGTTTACTAAATGTACAACAATGATTTTTGTTGTGCTTTGCAGACATCATAACCCTTCTTGCTTCTCACAGGCTGTTAAATGTACACGCTTGTTGGTTTTGTTTTTATTTTATTTAAACTCCATGTTAAGCAGTAAGTTAAACATTACTTAAACATATTTTTTAATTATTAAAAGATGAGAACAAAGTGTTCAGAAGTTTTGCAATTACACTCAGAATCCAGCTGTTTAATGGTAGTTCTGACTCACAGATAATGCTTTGATGTACCTATTGCTATGCTTGCATTTTGTTTGCTGCTTGCTGAAATCAAAGGTGCTGTTAGGTTATGGATAAAAGAGTAAGTTCTTTGGTTAGTATTTTAGGATGACAAGAACCTGCAGCTAGATTCTGCTAAAATTAGTATATCAATGTGTTTGTTTGTTTGTTTGTTTTTAAACTCTAGGTGGAATATGTGATCAAATGTGATATGTCTGCTCTCCAGAAGATCCTATACCGACACATGCAAGCCAAGGGAATCCTTCTTACAGATGGTTCTGAGAAAGACAAGAAGGTACAAGACACAGACTAGAACACACAGGAAACAATGCATTAAAATTACTTCTTGAACATATGACTTCTGTTTCATAAAGTTAGTATGTAGACTGTTCCTGCAGGTATCTTTGTAGCTTTTCTTCACTATTCACAAGGAAAAAAAAAAAAGAAAAAAAAAAAGAAACAGTAAGTGTACATACATTTCTCAAATAGACAATATTTAAAATTAAAAAAAAAAAACACCAACAAACAGTATTTCTCTTGGTTGAGTTTAAGAAGTTATCTGAGTAATTGTGCTTGCAGAAGCCCTGGCTGTGAGAGGCTATTCAAGAGCTCTTAGCTTAAATCTGGTTTTGGACAGCATTCATACTTAATTAATCTATTAATGAAAAGGTTCTTAAGAGAACAGTAGGATTCAGATTCGTAGAATTGGATGTTAGAATGCGTATTAATAAATGTTGATTATGACACTGTGGGTCTTCAGCTAATACAGGAAAAGGAGATTTCCTTTCATCAGCTTAATTATATATACAGTATATGTTATGACATTATGATTAAAGTGAAATACGTTGAATGCACCGTGAGAGTTCTTGCTATAGAGCGCTTGAACACTGCAGAACAGCTTGCATACAAGTTTTGTTTGTGCCTACTTGGCTCTACTCTGTGCATTTTACTCATATAATGCAAACACATACTGTCTTTTCACCATCCTTGTGCAGGTACACTACATCAGAATGTTTTGTTGATTCTTCCATAGTTGCTTCTCCAGTGCTTTAAGTGCTTCTCGTTTTTCTTTAATTACTTCGGACTGGCTCTGTTGTGTTAAGACTTCCTCTACTTCCAGTCTTCAAGGGTATAATTTTTCACTGTCTTCCAACCCTCTCTTCATTCACTTTCTTGTCTATGACTGCTTTATCAGGCGCTTTTATTCAATGCTACTCATTGCCAGCAGAGGGAGGCGAAGGTTGTTGAGCTCTTGTAGGTTCATTCAACAAAAAACTGCTGTTAGTTAAAAATCATGTTTTTTTGCCAAGTCCAGCCAGCGACCAGCTCACACTAGAGAGAATACATTAAGCAACAGAGCTTCAGGAAATAGTGTGCATATGAATACCTTTTCAAGAAAATTTGAGATGATTTTGAAAAGAATAAAAAACAAGTTTTAGATGTATGGAGTACCCACTCCAGATGTAAAATTCCTGTTCTTTTGTAAATGATTTTAGTTTTAGATGTTATGAAGTTATGTTCTTAGTGCACTTTCCAGTAAAGATTAGAATATTACAAGTATGTAATATGACTGGATAGCATAGTTTTTGCAGTATTATCTGGTTTTATTTTACCTTTATTAGTCCACTACGTATAATTGTGTTGTAAATGTACAGCTTAGTCTAGCACCTAGTGATTCTTGAGTGTTTTTTCTCAGCTGAACTGAACATCGTCTGAATTCAGTCCTGCTTCTAAGAAGGGTTCACTACAGAGTAGGTTTTGAAAGTACAGTCTGTGAAATACTAGAACACCTCATGCGCTGTGTTTAGTTAGTCTTTTTGCTGTCTGTTGTCTTGTGTTTTGCTTGGCCCAGAAAGGAGGAGCAGATAATATAGAATTGAAAAGCGTCCAGCTAGTACTGTTTCCTGCCAGGAGGGCTCATATCCAAAGTAGTTCATACTGTAAATGGTAAGCAGGACAAAAGTTGTACTGTTTCTGACTCTGAAGATAAGACAGAATACCTTTTGCAAATTACGTTCAGGTCTTTGTTTTACATTATAGAGCATCTTTATGATAGGTGAATTTATGCAGCAAGATAATTGCATTACAGATTATGATCTTCTTTGCTTCCTATGGTTTTTTTTCTTTCTTCTGTTGTTTTTTTTGTTTATTTTTTGTTTTAATAACAATTTGGTGTTTGGATTAACTGCGTTTAAAAGATGTCTTTTAGAAGCTTCTTTAATTAGGTTGGAAATGAAATTCAGCATTTGATTTGCATTGTTTATTCCTGTAGGGAAAAGGTGGCGCAAAAACTCTTATGAACACCATCATGCAACTGAGAAAAATATGCAATCATCCATATATGTTTCAGCACATTGAGGTAAGGTTGCTAGGTTTGATTTTGAGTTGTTTTTATTCGGTATAGCTAACAGCAGTAGAAAACTGCTGTTGAAGCTTGAGTCTCTGATAAGGAACAACTGCACGCATAATTTGTGTTGGAAAAGAGACATTTGGAAAGCACAGTAATTCTAGTCTTTTATATTTATTGGCAATCCAAAGTCTAGTTTTAAAGCATTTAGTCTTGTTGAGATACCATCTCTAAAAAATGAAGGTTTTTTTTTTTTTTTTTTTAAATTCAAGACATTCCAGACTAACTTAACCCCTACCCAGAACTAATTTGTGACATAGGGTATGTTAGTCCAGAGTGCCAAGCAGTAGAGAGTCTTTATAACTAGCAGACTGCTTATCTTTCACTGTATCCAAAATCGTCCTATTCTATCCACCTTGTTTGGCAACAAAAAGATGCTGTTGTTCTCTCAGAAGGACCCAAAGTACGTAAATAAGCTAGTACATCCCGGAAGTATCATAAATATCTGAAATTGAACTACATTTGTGCATAGACAAATACCTACTCTGATGCACTGTTGTGGTTACACTGTTCATTCTTTTGATTGTTAATTAATTGAGTAATTTTCAATTGGTTCTTCTGGTAGTTAGTGTAATTTAATTAGGCTCTACTGTATTTGCAATCTGAGTTTCAAATAATAGCAGTACAGAAAAATATTAAGCAGAGCAGTAGTGCAGCAAGGTGGATACCAACAGTATCAGCGTAATAGAACTGTAACTCTTAACATTCATATATTTAATGTAGTTGAAATAAAGGTGCATAATTTTGGTTTCCTATTTGTAATAATCTCTTTATTGCTTGTAACTCTACAGGAATCCTTTGCTGAACATTTAGGCTACTCAAATGGTGTCATCAACGGGTAACTCATTTTTTTCTTCCTTTTAGTATAAACTGTTTTAGGACTACTGCATCATATCCATTTTCTAGAAGATAGAAGCTAACAAACATAAGCAGTTTCTAAATTAAATCAGGGTAATATTATTAAGAAGACTCCTAATAACCATAAGGCAAGCTATCTCCATAGTCACCCTCACATCCAAGACACTACTCTTACTTGAAGTATTATTTCGTCCCTGAATTAGCAGTTGACCATCTTCAATGTTCTTTATTGGTAATGAGAATTCTCTCTCTGACTAATGCTGTGTCTGTGCTCCATCACTAATTCCTGAATGAGAAAGTTGTTTCTCTGACTAATATCTAGGAGTATTGTATCATAAAGAGAAGAATTCACCTTAAGCAGATAATGGTTATGGGAGTCTGAAGATGGATTCTGGGACTTTCTTAATGTCAGACCAGAGATTTGCTCACAGGATCCCTCTGTTCACTGAAATTTCAATTCTCATGGTTGGAATACATGTGATAAAAGTATTTCTCTTTCTGTGGGAAGAGTATTTCCTGTTGCTTCAAGGGCCTTTTAGTTTTTTTATTATTATTTTTTTTTTTTGTGAAGCTAAGTTGTAATATGCAGGTTCCTTTATTTTTTAAAATATTACCTTATGTAGCAAAGGCGATCCATCTAAAAGTTCTTACATGCTTGATTGGATGTCTCAATAGCTGATTCTGTATACATCTATGTTTGCTTTTTCTCATCTCTCCTCAAAGCTAAGGATAACTCTCCCATTATTATACTAATCCAGGCCAACAAAATAGAACATGAAAGATGAATGTCCAGTTGTTACTGCATGCCACACAATAAAACTGAAACCCTTGCAAAGTATTTTTGCCACTTCTGAACTACTGTGTTTCATATATATCAACTGATTACAGCTAACTGCATGACTGAGAACTCACTTGTGCAACATTCTCTTGTGATAGATTTCACACAGGCCAACTTTTACCATTTGTTTATTCTGAAGCAAGACAAAGTGTATTCATCAGACAACGTTAATTCATGTAATTCCTGTTATATTGTACTAAACAGGAAATTTGAAATCCACAGTCTTTGATGGATGGATGGAACAGATGTTTTGTTTCCTTCTTACTGGAAGACATACTCACTATGCTAGTCTTTTCCAGAATACACTCTGTCTGACACGTGTAAAAAATTTTAGCACAGAAGCAATTCTACAAAGAAAAAGGAAAAGAGCACTATGTCTGCTGGAAACCACGTGTCCTTCTCACACAGACTGAAAATTGCTGTGTTAAGATAGCACTGGCTAAGCAGATAAGGGTTTTAGAGGATTGTTCCTGTCATTGTTTTATACAGGTCCACAGTGTTCTATAATCTGCCTTGCACATATTAGTTCTGAGTACCACTAGTCCCTGCACATGGAAATGCAGTACATTTTAAAATTCAGAAAATATTCCACAGTATTTCAGATTGATTTGCCATTTTCTCATTCTAGATAAGTTCAGACTTCCTAAACTGAACCCTTAGTTTATGTATCATTCCAAATTGTTCATTACATTTGCCTCCACAGCATTCCATCTCTCCAAGCTCAAGTGTTCTTAGCTCTTGACTTTCACAAAAGTATGAAATTTCCTTTTCTTAATTAGATTCCCAGTAGAAATTATTTGATATCAGGATACCTTGTATATAAGAGAATTCTCCTCACTATTACTAGCTCTCACTGTGATACGGTGTAATGGTCAATCATTTGTTATACTGAAGAGTCCTTATAGTTAGATGGCTTACTGATCAGAGGCAAATGGTAGCCCTGTGATGTATGCATATGGCTTAGTGTTTTCTTAGCTGCGCGGACTTGTGCTTGTGAAGAAACTTTGGGAGAATTCCTATCATGGTGTATTTTTTGTCTCCTTTATAAGAGGGCAGAGGAGATGCAGGACACATATTTAAGGCAAAATAACCAGTACTAGACCTCTTATGTGAGGCTTTTATGACTCTCCACTCATTACAGGAGAACAGCCAGAGAAGCTGGTAAAATGGTGTCTTTCCATGCTTGTTCTAGAAACTACATAGAAACCAGACACCTGAAAGTTACTGCAGTGATTCTCCAAAGACGTCATAAGGAATTTTCTTTCTTGTTCCTTTCAAGTTCTTTAACTTCTCTACCATCTTTATTCTAAATTAAAGTAGCACTTCTTACACTAGTTATTTGAAATGAAATAGAACTTTTTTTCTTGGCACTTCTTCATCCAACTGTCCATAAACGTATGCTTTTAGAAGAAAGGTGCGTATCTTGTACCTGACACTTGCTGCTTTTTTAAAAAAACTTGGTTTTTTTAGTCAGACCTCTTGGCTCCTAAACAGTTTAGTCTTTTGCTAAGTGTTTATGTATGTATGCATATGAGAAGATTATGTACCTTTTTTTTAATTATATAGTTGATAATGATAAATCATATTTGTAGGATATAATAAAGGTTAGAAAAAAGTGAAATTTATTTCTGTGATACACATCTTTGTTATGTTGATTCAGTCATCCTTTTTGCTTTAATTCATTTTCTTAGTTATGGATTGAATTTCAGCACTAGCAGTCTGTTTTGTGGTTCATAGCATAGGAGAAAGAGAAGCAATTAAGCAAAGCAACTAAACATTGTGCAAGACTGCTTAAGGGTACATGTTGAAAGTTTTTATTCTTATACAGCTTCTCCTGTTATCTCTGTATATTATCTCTGTCCAGTTTGGAATTCATCTTTTGCCTGAGCATAGTAGGAAGGGAGTTTTTTCTTGTAGTTGAATGGAAAGATTTCTGACATATACCTGTCTAGAGCATCTTGTAGCTGCAAAAACAAATAACTGTTGAAAGCAAAATTAACAGGTGAATGCCTTAACAAATAAATGGCTTATTACTTAGGTGAGAAATAATGTTTGTTTTGATGCACAGTGAGACAGAATTCAATTTCGTAAAGGCAGTTGTGGTTGTAAGTCCACACTGAAGAAAAATCTGTTCCAAGCAGGAATTCACATGGGTGTTTATTTTTTATTAAATCAACGTAAAGCAAATCAAAAAGATGTATGAGTCTTGTTTATCTTAACTGAATCTTTCTGTTATGCTACGATGTGACCATGACTAAAAACTTTTCTATTTGTAGGCTTGTTCTAGTATTTACTGTGCTTCTTCTCTTAAACAGAGCTGAACTTTATCGGGCCTCAGGGAAGTTTGAGCTCCTTGATCGCATCCTACCAAAGTTACGAGCTACAAACCATCGTGTGCTTCTTTTCTGTCAAATGACATCACTCATGACCATTATGGAAGACTACTTTGCCTTTCGAAATTTCCTCTACTTGCGTCTTGATGGTAAGCTGAATGAAAACAGAATGAATAAGTTAGGGACAGGCATCCTTCGTTAATCCGGATCATGGAATACCTAAGTTCTCTTCATAGTAAGCCACGGCTGTGATTTGACTCTACAGAAGTGTGAACAGGTTCAACAGTTCCATGAAGGAAAAGCCTGCAAGGATATTTGTTATGAAAGTATAGCTACAGACCTATAAGGTGCAATACACTGGAACGTTCCCTGTCCTTACATATCAGGCACTGAGCAGGGTGTACTTACGGTGATTTTAGTAGAGTCGATCTGAGATCTATCTGTCTTCCTGTCTCTTTGACTTTATCTTTCATCCATTTAACATCTAAACCATTTGGCTGAGGGATTGTTCTGATGAACATTCATGTTCCTGGAATGCAGAGGATGTAGAGATCTACAATCCACTTGTTAGTACCTAAGTTGTCTGAAAATATTCTTTTGATTATAGATGTGAATGGTGGTATTTTGACTCGATGCCAGTGGAATTAATTGATTGGTGACTAAAGATTCATCACCATTCTCCACAGGTTACATGAATTTCAGTGAAAAATAAAATGGTACCTATAGATTTCTTCTGATTTTCACAGGAAGATCGCTAGCCTCAATTATTTAATATGTAAATAGGTAGCTTTTTTACATTTAAATGAAAAAAAAAAAAAATAGGAAACATAATTGAGAAGTATTGAAAGAAAATAAATAAAAATTCAAAATCCTATGTGGAAATCCCATGTTTCCATTGTGGTTTTCTTCTGTGATGAGTGTCTCTATCTCCGACCTTCTTAAATATTATTTCTTTTTAATCAATTTATCTCTCACGTGGTGCTGTTGTAGAGGACCAGCAGCACTTACCAAAATGCCTTTTCAAGAAAAGCAGTGGTATAAGAAAAATGTGAAGAACAGCATGAATAAATGAGCATTTAAGGTCTTTTGACTATTCTTGGGTACTGCAATGTTCATTAACATTGAGAAGTATACCAGTCCTTTTCAAGTGTTAATGAATATAAAAACTTCAAACACTGTTCTTCTCAAATATAAATCAAGTAATGAAACTGGGCATAAGCTTACTGTCTTGTGTCATAGGATGTCTTGTGCTTTTTTCATGCTAGAATGTCAATGGCAATACACAGTATGATAAATACAATATTTTGTTGAGATTTTGCAGGTAATTTATAAATCAGTAAGATGAACTCTTCTTTCAACTTCTCCTATTCTCTGATTGCCTTCCACGATGGAACATAATATATACATAAAATTCTAATTCTAATTCTGCTGTATGTCTTTGCTCATATCGTATTTTCTACCCAAGTCATGTACTGGCAGCATTTTGACTGTGAGACTGTAGTGGATGTCTGGGATAGAGTTAACTTTCCTCATAGCAGCCCATGTAGTGCTGTGTTTTGCATTTGTAGCTAGAAGTGTTGATAACACACCAGTATTTTGGCTCTTGCTGAGCAGTGCCTCACAGTGTTGAGGCTTTCTCTCCGAGCTGCACCCCCCTCCCATTCCCAAGGCAATTAGGTTGAGGGTGAGCAGTAAGCATAGAGCAAGAGCTGGGGAGCAGATGCAAGATCCAAAATGTATATTGCATGCCACTGTGCATAGTTATAAAAGCTGAAGGAAAGGAAGAGGATGCAGGAAATTTGTAGTTATGATGTTTGTCTTTCCAAGCAACTGCTATGTGTACTGATTTCTACTTTCCAGGAAGTGGCTGAACATCTGCCTGCTAATGGGAAGGAGTGAGTGAATTCCTCTTTTTGCTTCACTTCTGTGCATAGCTTTTGCTTTTAGTAAACTGCCTTCATTTCAGTGCAGAACCTTTTCCATCTTATTTTCTTCTTGTCATTTTAAGGAAAAGGAACTGAGAGAGCATCTAGGAGGAGTTTAGGAAGCCAGCCAAGGTTGCCCACTTAAGTAATAGTGGGATATCTTCTGTTTTATATAAATATATAAATATGTATGAAAATAGATTTTCTTTGGCTTTCAAATACAGACAGAAGTGTGAAAAATATCAGGATATCAGTGGACCAGAGATTGTCCACGTAGAGTTTCGATTAAGTGTGTAATAGTTAATGCGATTGCCAGGTTGTGCAATATTTGTTTTTCATCTCTTTTTTAACCACAACTGAATTCCTTGCCATCTCTCTTTCCCTTGCACATACACAACTACACTTAAGATATGACATATAAAGAATTTTCAGTTCTTCTTATTACTGTGACTCCTAAGATAAATTCTGATGTTTTGATTAATCAATTTACTAATGACTTCTAAAAATACTTAGATACATTCAACTCTGTTTGTGTATAATAACTTCAGTTGAAATTTATGTGAGTTATAAGAAGTATAGCAATGGTAGCTGGCATTTTAAAGTCTACATTTGAAATGTCAAAAATAAACCCTCAAGTGTTTTGCAGTCCTTCTCTCAAATGTAGTAAAAACAGGTGACAGAAACATCCATGGGCAGTATTTTATTTATTATTATGGAAAATACAGCAGAGATCACAAGGAGCAAGTGAGCTAAAATTTCACTGTCTCCTGTACATTTAGGCATTACACTGTATTTAAGAGTATTTTGGTTCACATCATTGTTATGTTTTTACTTTTCAGGCACAACAAAATCAGAAGATAGAGCTGCTCTCTTGAAGAAGTTCAACGAACCTGGGTCACAATACTTTATCTTCTTGCTGAGTACAAGGGCTGGAGGGCTAGGCTTGAATCTCCAGGCTGCTGATACTGTTATAATCTTTGATAGTGACTGGAATCCTCATCAGGTGATTATTATTTGCTTATCTGCAAGCAGATTGCAAAGAATTCGTGATGGTTTTTTTGGGTTGCTTCTTTAGTTCGAGGTTATATTCTGAGGTAAATGGTATTGATACAGCATTCTCCTTTGGGAGCAGTTAGTAAGACAAACTACTACTGTCAAGAAATGTGTTAGTTTGAATCAGTGAAGTAATTCTGAGTTTGTGTAATTATTTTGTCTGTCTCGAGGGATTCTCAGCTAGGGGTCTTCTAGTCTTGTACCAGTACTATAGCTATACTCATTCTTTATTGTTCAGAGCTCTAACAAGTATTCCTCATTTTGATTCTGCAGTAGTTTGTAGTGTTTTAGAAAAGGCTGTGCAGATCAATGCTTTGTCTTGAGAAGTTAATGGCCATATCAGTCTTGTCCTGAGACACTGGTGGTGGCTTATTTCTTCTTCTCAGTTTAAAATTTAAAAAAAATAAGAGGAAGCTGGTCTTTGTCACTTAGTGCATTTTATAATTGTAACAACAGAAGTTAGGTATCTGTGGGAAGTACCTGATTATAGTGATTATGCATGTCTTTTCAGCTTTTCAGCTAAAGTTGTAAGCTAGTCACCTAAGTGTTGTTAAGTGCAAAAATAAAGGTTAAGACATGGAAGAATTTTACATAGAACTTTAAAAGCAGCAGTTGCATAAATGCTCTGGTAATCAGTTTAAAACAGAGCTTGTGAAATCTGGAGCAATTTAAAGGCTTAAAAACCACCTCAGAAGGCACTTAATTCTGTATATTCTTGGTTATCTCTGTCACCTTCACAGCCTTTTTTAATGCAAGTATATTTTAACAGTTGGGTAGCAGTAAATCTCACATTAGAGAATGTTTCCTAGAGAATCTAGTGGACAGATTATTAAATCAAAAAATGTGTAAACTCATTGCCTGGTTTATTATTATCTTATTTCAAGAAATTTATTTTGTGACGTAGCAGAAAATTGTGACAGCATTTTGCTGAAATAGTGTGTACATTAATTTCTTTTTTCCCCCGAAGAAGATCAGTAAGATTTTGAACTAATAAAAATAATTATTTCCCAGTGATCTACAGCTTGCTTTTTTTACTTCTATCAATTTTAAGTGCAATTGTTTTACCAAAAAGTAGTTTGCAGTGTTCTGAAAGTAATTTAAGATCATGTTTAAACTGTTTTAACAGAACTATTCAAAGATAAAAGCCTATTCTACAGATCAAATAATTTATAGTTCACACATTTATTAATTAGTGACTACCTTTAGTTTAGATAAGATCATGTATTAATTTTATGCTACTAATCTTTTTTTTTTTCCTGGAATCAAGAGATGTTTCACTTTAGGGTTCATTCTGGCTTGGAATGTCATGAACCTTTGTGCAGAAAAGAAAAAATGTATACGTAAACCCTTTTCAGTCACTGCACAAGCTTACAGCATTTACGGTATACACACTGTGCAAGTTTTTTTCTTTGTTTTCTCCCTATCTGGATCTGATGAAATTTTAAGAAAGAAAACAACTGAGAGTGAGCCATGTGAATTATAGTGGACTGTAGTTTGGGTAGTTCCCTTTGATGACAAAAAGAATTCAGCATTATTACACACTGTAAGCAGAAAGCGATTTGAGTTGCACACTTACATAAATCCCTCCATGTCTTCTTTACTTAATAGGACTTGCAGGCACAAGATAGAGCTCACCGAATTGGTCAGCAGAACGAAGTTCGAGTTCTGCGTCTATGCACTGTGAACAGTGTGGAAGAGAAGATTCTTGCTGCTGCAAAGTATAAGTTGAATGTAGATCAAAAAGTTATTCAGGCTGGAATGTTTGATCAGAAGTCTTCAAGTCATGAAAGGAGAGCTTTTCTGCAGGCTATACTGGAGCATGAGGAAGAAAATGAGGTAATGTTGTTAGAAATAATTGAGAAGAGCATGTTTGAGGGAGAACTTAATTTTTCCCTAAGTTCAAAGACTGACTACTTCAAAATTAGAACTGTAATCATTATCTTAACATCCAGTCAAAGGAATCTCTTTTTTTTTTTTGGTCATAGTAATAGGTTGTTATCTGGTGATGATAAAATCTTTTGCATATTAAATCCATTTTGCTCTTTCAGTTTTGCCAAAAACTTTCTGAACAAGGGCTGTTTTTGTTTTTGTTTTCCAGGATATAAAGCAGTCTTTAAAACCAGTTCGTGTTTTAAAATAGTGTGATTTTCAGATATACTGAGAAAACTAGGACTTCTTACATTTAATCATTTGAAACCCTGCTTTTTCTTTTGGGTTCTTGGTAAGACTTTAGATGTTGTTTGGGCAAGGCAGCCAAAATAACTTTTTTCTTGGTTCTGTACCAAGAGACTTGTAATTACCAGTTTCTATTCAGAAAAAAAAAAAAAAAAATAGTTGTTACAAGACAGCTGTCACACTTTTGTGTATAGTAGTGGACAGTGAGGTTGAAGTATCACTGGCAGTTTGTCCTGGTCTTTGAAACTGTGGTTGTGGAATGGTGAGCCCCTTCTTTTCTCCGGTGCTGCAGATTATTCTTTTACTGTGAACAATCATCATTTGGATAAGCACTGCATTTAGAAATTACTATGTTAATGTATTGCTTATACTGAAGGCGCACACTAGAAGTCCCATTTTGCAGTGTTTTTTTCCTACCTCAGAAAATTATAGAATGGTAAAAAGGCTTGGGTTGAAGAGACCATGAAGATATCTAGCTCCATCTCCCTTCCCATGGACAGGGTTGACAGCTGCTACATCTGGCATTACATCAGGAAGGATGTCCAGGGCCTGGCCATGAATAGCTCTTGGGATGGGACATACACAGCTTCTCTGGGCAGCCAGTGCTGGTGCTTCACTACCCACTGAATGAAAAAAATATCCCCCTGACATCTGATATAAATCTCCCTTTTAGTTTAAAACTGTTTCTCTTTGTCCTATGACTGTGTAAATAGTCTGCTTCCCTCCTGTTTATAACCTTCTTTTAAGTAACAGAAGGCTGCAATGAGGTCTCCCTAGACCTTTCTCTTTTCCATGCTGAACAAGCCCAGATCTCTCAGCCTTTCTCCATAAGTGAGGTGCTTCAGCCCTTTGTCAATTTTCATGGCCCTCCTCTGGACCTGCTCCAGCAGCTCTATGTCTTTCTTACGTCACAGGCTCCAGATTTTAATGCAGTACTCCTGATGGGGCCTGACAAGGGCAATTAGAGGTGGTCACCTCCTCCTCCATGGTGGCCACCTCCTCTTTTGATGCAGCCCAGGATGCAGTTGTTCTTCCAAGCTGGAAGCACACACTGCTGGCTCACTTCAAATTTCTGGACCACCAAAACCTGCACGTCCTTCTCTAGGAGTTCTCTTCCCAATTTGTATACATACCAGGGTTTACCTTGACCCAGGTGCAGCATCTTGCATTTGGCATTGCTGAAGGTGTGTTCATGTGGGCTCACTTCCCATTCTTGGCCAGGTCCCCATGGATGGCATCCCTTTCTTCTGTTATGTCAGCTGCATCACTCAGCTTGATGTTGTCTGCAAACTTGCTGAGGATACACTGAATCCCTCTGTCTATGTCATTGATAAAGATGTTGAAGAGCACTGGTTCCAGAATAGGGGGATATCTTGTCACTGGCCTCCACCTGGACATGGAGTCACTGACCACAATGTTTTGGCTGCAACCCTCCAGCTGATTATTTATCCCCCAAATAGTCCACCCTTCAAACCCGTATCTGTCCTTTTTAGAGATAAATATGATGTGTGGGACTGTTTCAAAGGCCTTTCAGAGGTTTGTGTCTGTTTCTAAAAAGACGGAGAAAGAGGAATGCTCCCAATGTAGTGACATGATGTTGGGTTTTTTTTGCTGGTGATACTTTAATTTTTTTTTTCTTTAGGTAGGGACCATATTCAGTTTCCTTTCTATAAGAAAAGACTTTATACTGCTGAATTATATTTCTAAGGGAGTACTGTAGAACATCAGAACAGAAATGCATGTATTTTAGCTGTGCTTCTGACCCAGGAAAACCACAAACCAAAATTTCCTGGTTGCCTGTTTGCTCATTTCCTCATTCTCAATTTATGGAGGTGGTAATAAGTCCCAATTGTCTCTAATTTTGTCTACTTTGTGTTACTTCTGAATTGCTGATCATGTTAGAAGTTTTAGTTTTGGTTTGCATTTTTCACACATGTACTGACAGAAGGAGGCTCAGTGCATTGCTGGCCTGATGCAGACTGTTACTTTATGTTGAACATGAAAGCTTCTTTCTAGTACCTTTGTCAATCTTTGTGACCAGGAGGAAGATGAAGTTCCTGATGATGAGACTCTGAATCAGATGATCGCCCGACGTGAGGAGGAATTTGATCTCTTTATGGTGAGAATGATATGATCATATGCTGTATATCATTTCTAGTGTTTTTAGCAAAGGCTTTAACCTTATATGTCATTTAAATGTTGTAAAACTTTGTTGTAGGAATGGCTTTATTTACTTGCATTGCTTATCTGAGGAAAGGAGAGCAGACTTCCTAAACTCAGAGTTCCTCACAAGACAGAAAGACTTCAGAGATCCTTGCAGTCAGTAGCGGAGCAGTGCCAATCTGGAAGACACAACCTAAGAAATTTAGGCAGTCTAGAATTGATAGTCAGTGTTTGTCTTACAGGTTGTACAGCATGCTTTTATTTTTAGAACTTTTTTCACTTTTGTGCTGTGATACTGACAAAGGCAAACACGGGAACTGAACAAGATAGTAAACTAGTAGACTTACAGTGCAGTTCTCCTTGGAAATTAGCTGGTTTGCTAATTTTTCTTGATTTCTTCAAGAGCCCTGTTAACTTACTGCTGCTGCTAGAACTGTTGAAGAATTACCAGAGTAGTTCCAGTGATCCAAATGTGAACAATGGAATAATTACTAGTATGTTAGTGTAGGCATAGCTTCCAATTTTTTGCATCTGTGCAGTGGTGAGGATTGCTGATGGGCTTTTAAGAGACACTGAAACAACAGAAAGAAGATACTTAAAAATTTAACCACTGAGGGTTAAGCATCATCTCTTCTCATTCTACCTGTGTTGCTTCATTCTGCAGGACTGAGCAACAAAGACACTTGTGGGATCAAATGAGTACATTTGATCTGAGTACATTTTATGACTGAGTGGGTTTTATTTTAAGGTATATTTGAAAAGGCTGTACACATTGTCTTATTTGAGCTAGTTAAATAACCTAAATGAGATTCATGGGAGCTTAGGGCTTAGATCAGCATATAGTCAATGCAGAGAAACGGATGCTTTCCTGGGAGAACTATAAACCACCTAATTCACACAAGAATGTATCCTGAGTATCCGTATGTATTTTATGAGGTAATTGGTCACCACAGTTGAAATTAATTTGTGTGAGTAATTGAAGTCCAGCTTAAAGTTTTTACACCATATTACCCTTTTAATATTCTTAACATTTTACTTAATCTTGCCTGATTTTTATTGTATGTGTTTTCATTTTTTCTTAATGCAGGAGAAGTAAAAATTTTTGTTGAAGCTGGTTGGATTTCTGTCACCGAGTCATCTTTTCTTTGAATTCTTAATTATCTCTCTTGATTCCTTTTTTCTAATGTCTGCTTTTAAATTTACTTTCTCTGATATTCAGAATCACAAAACTAGTATGTTTTCAATTATTCTTTTTAGTTATATAACATATTTTTGAGGATGTTGTAAAGGAATTAATAATATTTGCAAATCAGATTTATGAATATATAGAAACCGTAAAACTGTGTGTGGGAAAAAAAATAATAGAGCTTTTTAATGGATAGCTTCCTTCTTTCTTAATCTGCGTTGTCTTACCTGGGTCTTATGGAGTTACTTCAGTGTAAACTAGCTATGGAGTGGTGAATTTCACAGAAAATCAACTGTAAAATGTAGCTGCTTTCTACAGTTGCATTTTGCAAGTCTTGGGCTAGAGGAAGGGAAGTACTTGTGAAGAACTTGGTTTAAAATTTCAAGTATTCTTAGCTGGCAGGAATTCCAGTGGTTTGTTTTAGTTGCCTTTACAACTGTTTTATCCTTTCCCATCTACCATTTCAGCGTATGGACATGGACCGCCGTAGAGAAGATGCCAGAAACCCCAAGCGCAAGCCCCGCTTGATGGAGGAGGATGAATTGCCATCCTGGATTATTAAGGACGATGCTGAAGTTGAAAGGCTCACGTGTGAAGAAGAGGAGGAAAAGATATTTGGAAGAGGATCCCGTCAGCGCAGGGATGTGGACTACAGTGATGCTCTCACAGAGAAGCAGTGGCTGCGGGTAGGGTAACTCTTTGTTTGTTTTAAAGATGACACTTATTTGTGTGTCGTTCATTTACTTATTCTTTTTTTTTTTTCATTGAAAACTACAAAGTTGCACAATGGAAATAGGTAAGATCTACTTTTAGCTGGTAGTAAGCATTTGCAGCTGCACCTCTACCTATCTATTTATTAAGTAGCTTAATTTAGTCTTTCTAGTAACTTGGAAACTTCCACACAATTCTTCTTTCCCCATGCTCTTCCTTTTGCAAGTCTTGGCTCTGTTGAGGCAAAAAAAAATCTTGCTAAGCGATGTTACTAGAATTCAAAACCTTAAAGAAGAGTTTCTTTGGTTTTGTTGCATTTGGGGAATCTTGCCATTTTCTGCAAAATACACGTAAAATGAATTCTAATCCATACATCTTTTTAGAATGGTAGGAATAGGGATGTTAAGAAGGTTAAGAAACTGTTTTCAAAACCAGCAAATTTGGTAACATTATGATTTCTAATACATACCAATAAAATACTGTGCACAAAATTAGTCTACATTGTTTAAGAGAATGTTTTTTTTAGAATAATCACAGATTTGATGCCAATGTGAATATAGTTTTTCTGGGTAGAAATCTTATGTACTTGAGTTATGAAAGTGATCGTGAGAGTGCACTGTGAGAGATGCTGCTAAGAGTTGATTTTTTTTCTCTTCCCGTAGCTGCTATTACAGCTTTGTATCTATCCTCTTCATTGGCCTTTGCAGAAGGAAACTTTGCATTTCTGAATAACAAGTCAGTTTGAGAATATCAGTATCCAGTACTCAGCTGCCTCTTTGCCTTGATTTATGCTGGAGGTTTACTTCATCTCTTTTCTGAGGAGTTCTGCTAGATTCTGATCCCTCTGCTGATATGCCGTATGCTGAATATTCTAGTTAAGGTCCCACCTTCATAAATATACACATCATAGCAGATCCCTAAAGGAAAGATAATAACTCAAGGCCTGTGTGCATGCATGTATACTGTCAAACTGTGTCAGCTCTGTCCTTGTCAAGAGGTCAGGTACGTGAGTTTGGAAGCAAGAGGCAAGATAATAACAGAAGCAGTAAGCATGGGCATAAACAGTGTCAAGTGAGACAGTGCTGCTGTCCTGAAGTATCTGAAATTCAGTAGCAACCTTCCAGAGAAACTGTAAAATACAAACAGGCTTCATCACTAGCTGTCGCTGCAGCTTGCTTTTCTCTAACTGTTGGCATGACAACTACGTTCCCTAAAAAGGAAGGAGGAGTTTGCTCCTGGTCTTAGGAGGCATGTGTATTGTGGAAGTGCTGTGGGAGATTGTATCATTGCGCTGTTTCTATCAGGCCTGCAAAATATTGGATCTGTGGGAAGATTTCCTAGAGTCTCATGAGTGCTTCTATAAGGTCGGCCTTGCTCAGAAGAATCAGCTTCAAGAATCAGAGGATTTTTTTGAGAGACCATGAAATAGTGCGTTTATCCTGCTGATCTAGGGGCGTTTTCATGTTTAACCTATTCTTTGCCATCTGGAATACTTACTCTGTACTTATCTTCATTCTAATAGCATTGACTAAGGCAGAGGCTTCAAGACAGCTCTTGCATGACCGTTACAGATTATCTAGTTCTCATGCTTTTTTTGTCAGTTATCTCTGACTCTCTCTTACTCTGAGGCTAAATATCAGCATTCTTCTTGTTCAGGGTAACTTCTGGCTAGATGACATGAGTAAACTTCTGTTCTTTTATTGTGCATTTGATTTGAAATAGCTTTGTTTGTTGGCCAGACAAGCATGTTTGAGTCCAAAATGAGTGTTGTCTTGTTTACTTCCTGCTGATAGGCAAAATCCAAAAGGGCCAACTGTATCCTGGAGTTCATTGTGCACAGCATAATTATATAGTCAGAAAAAATGATTGTCCAACTGTACTCTGCGTTGGTGCAGCCTCTCCTTAGTATTATGTGCTGTTTTAGGCTCTGCTATATAAAGTGTGTATAAGTGCGTATAAAAATGTTAAAATGAGTCCCAAGGAGAGCAAAAACAGTTAATGGACTTGAGGGCAAGATGTATAGGGGATGGCTGAGAGTAGCTTAGTTAGGGAGTAGAGGGCTGGGAAATGAACTCATTGTGGTCTATAACTTTCTCATGAGGAAAAGCAGAGAGGGAGGTGTCGATCACTTCTCTCTGGTTACTTCTTCCATTGCCAAATCTTAGGAAAACGCATTGGAAGCAAACACAGTCCTTGAAAGAGCTAGGGCTACAGTTTCCACATGAAGAACACATCTGTAGAGGCTGTAAACTCTGTCATTATACCAGGTATTTTCCTGACTTAATTAGTAGGTCTCAGATGAAAAGGTGGGCAATGCTCTTTAAATGAGGGGAGACTGACCCCAGAAAACCTATTTAAAACAAACTAAAAATTCACCATGCAATTTCCATTCTGAAGGATTGAATTTTAGAATTTTTTTATGAAGAAAAATATCGAAGGCCTCCATTTTAATACTAAGCCTATCAGCTTAACAGTTATCCACACCTCCAGTCTGCCATGGCAATTAACATTACAATTAATGATATCCTAACTTTTTCCAGAGGAAAATAATATGTATAAATATACATGAAAACCACTCTACTATTCAAGAAGAAAAATAAATGAACATTTTATGATGCAAAGAAACAAGAAGTCTACATTAGTATATAAAGACAGGGTGAACAGCAACAGGAAATATTTGTCTCAGGGCTGTGAACAGAAGCCATCATGTTGAACCATTTATTAGTGATCATAAAAATGTATTTCTGATTAAGTTTTGTGTTCACTATTCCCCTGCAGATTAAACTGTCTTGTCTGACAGGGAGAGAGTAAATCCTTGGAATACTGTTTAATTCCTTTATTTGGGAATCTTCTGGTTTTTACTATTTTTAACTTTTAACTTGCAGCCTGCTCTCCTTAGAGATTTATCTTCAGGCAATGAAAAGAACATAGTCATTACTAGGGATACTACTGAATTGTCTTAAACTTTGTTTTTAAGTTCTTAACTAATTAATGTGGTGTTTTAACAAATTGTTGAAAAGGAAAGAAAAAAAAAAAGTGTCAGGGAAGAATAAAATGATACATTTCACCAGTAAAAGATTTATTTTAGACTACAGAAGAAGAGATCTGGAAGTGAAATACATAGTACTGCCAAGGTATAAAGACCTGTTTTATTCATTTTTCTTAAAATCCGTGGTGGCAAGGAAAACAGAACATCCCATATTGTAGGACACAAAAGTATTATACTCTTTATTTATTTCAGTGTTTGTTATTTTGATAGAATTTTGGAAAACCGAGAAAAGCAATCTCCCCCACCTGTTCTTGTCACCCACTTAAAAAAGTTTCTAATGCAGCTTTCTTTGCCCCTTCTCCATATGAAACATGGTCGAGTTAGTTGGTCGAGTTAGAAAACAAAATAAAACAACCTCCCCCCTCCCCCCAAAAAAAACACATAGTAGCGATGGTCGCATGGTACCTTTGTTAATGTACTGTCATTATTCTGCTAAAGATAAGTTGTCCAGATTCAGAATTCCGAGTAAGTTAGAGAGAAGATAACCAGTACAATTTGAAAATAGGAAGAAAACTCTTCTCTTTCCAGTATTTCTCAGTGAAATGAACAGTCCTGAAATGCTCTAGCATTTTGTCTGTGCAACGCACATATGCATCTCTGTCATAAGTACAAGATAAATTGGAAAAAGTGATGCATCTCAGTTTTGTTAAATTTTTCTTGAAGATGAATTACCTGGGAATCCAGAAGGCAGGAAGCATGTATTTTTCTTTAACTGTTTTTCTCTTCTGGTGAAAATTGTACGTAATAGAAAATAATAGAATAGAACTGGAAAGATTGGAGCAAGTAGCAAGGAAGACTTGTTTGCAGTCATAACCCTATTTCTATCTTTCACCTTTTTGTAATTGGTGTGAAATAAGATATTTCCTATGCAAATTGCTGTCAGAAGGGTTCTTGCATTTCTTGCTCATCCGTTTTGTTTCAGAAACATTCCCTTTCATTATCAGGCTTGTTGAGTGATTCTTAAAATTCTTCAATTTGGGTTTAGACGTTGTTATTTTTGGCAAGGGAAACTTCAAGGAATCAGTACTGTCTCAATTAAAGAAGAATAAGTGTGACAACTTCATAGTGTTATTTATAAATCTTATGTAAGAATAAATGTGCAAAGTACAATTGAGTTGCCTAAAATGGCATTTCATCAATTGAATATTATCTTTATGTATGCAATCTGGAAACTGATCATTTTTTTCCGGACGATTTAAGAAAATAATTGTGTTTAGAAAAAATGACATTTTTTTCCTGGCTAGATAGTTTTATAGTAATATCTCAGAGATGTGGAAGTAAATAAGACACATCTGAAGACAGCATTACCCTTAAAAAAACACACACTGCATCTTGATCTGTATTGTGTCACAGCATTTGGCAATAATGCAACAGAAGAGCTTGAGACTTCAGTGGTAAGGAAGGGAGGAGCAGAAGATCTTTAAAAAGAGAGAGGAATCCCTCTAGTTATGTTCCTTTCATCGTAATGGAATATTAACAGGAAGGGGAATGCCTGTTTACGAGGGTTGATAGTGATAGCACAAGGGAGGGAATGGTTTTGAACTGAGACGAGAGGTTTTGGTTAGATATTAAAAGGAAGATTTTCACACAGAGGGTGGTGATGCACTGGAACAGGTTGCCCAAGGAGGTTGTTGGTGCTCCCTCCCTGGAGGCATTCAAGGTGAGCCTGAATGTGGCTGTGGGCAGCCTGGTCTGGTAGTTGGCGATCCTGCACATAGCATGGGGGTTGAAACCAGATGATCATTCTGGTCCTTTTCAACCGAGGTCATTCTGTGATTCTGTGATTGATCATACTCAATTCCTGGTTTGTTTTTCTTTTCTATTTGAAATTACAACTGTATCTGTTACCACTTCAATTAAATCAGTCTTGAAGATTCAATCACACTAAATTTATTTATTTACAACTGTTAGTCTGTAAATAATATT